AATCCCATTTTTCGAATCTTATCTGTTTCATTTTGAATATTCCTTTATTTTATAATATAAATAGGGCAAATTTATTAAATAGGACACATTGATTTGGTTAAAATTAAACCAGGATAAAATGATTATTTTATATTTTGATTATGATTAATCTCAGATTAATTAGGCATTCTCAGTTTAAAAGACTTTTGAAAGTAGTAAAAACTTACGGAAAAGTTATATAGGACCTTAATTCAGCAAGTTGAAAATTATCCTGATATGAAATTTAGGAATTTTGTATATTAGTACTAAAGAGGTTATGTTAAAAGGCTTAAACCTTGTTTTTCCAACTTGTAGGAACTACACAAAGGAAATACTGGCAATATTAGGAAGAGAGTTTTGCCGATCGGTTCACAGAAAAGATTAAGAGTTGTTCGTCTAGTTGGTAGCTATGCTTAAGTTTAATACGCAAATAAAAGAAGCAGTTTTATATATGAATAAAGAGAGCTATATTTTTTAAATATCACGGAATTTATATTGACTTAAGGCTTCAGAATACCTATGGTCTTGTAAAAATTCGCAAAGAAGAGATATAACCTCGGATTATTGTGAACAATAAGCGTTGCCTATAACATCAAACATCACGATTTATTTATATCTGAGTAAAACAAATAGTCTATTTTTTGCAGACTTTACTCATTTATTAGGCTGGTGAATAAGCAAGTAAACTCCATCGGGGACTGCTTTTTAGTTTATATTTAGTACCGATGTAAAGAGAAATTCCGTTAGGTGGAGCAGCACGAACTTTAGAGTAAGCATTATACTATTTTAAAAATTATTAATAGATGCCGTCACCAAAGTCTGCTCAAAGTGATGACTGACTAATAGAGTTTTAGCTAGATTTGGCTTCTTATTTTTGAAGGAAAATCTTGTTCACCTGAAACCAAAGGAAGGAAAAAGCTTGTGCGATTTTGTGGATTGTGTGAAAAAGACTTCGACTAACTGTCCTGCGACAGCCATGAACCCTTGTTAGACTTGCTCTTGTCATATGACAGACATCATCAGAGTGAAAAAGCGCACCAATATATTAGACCAAGAGAAATGGTGGCTAACTGCAAACCTACAACTCACTTCTTAGACCTAATCTTGCCATCTCACTGATTAGTTACTTTTTGTTTGCCCTAAATACTTGCAAAGGAGGAAAGATGATGCATGAAAATGTGAATGTGGTTGCTGCAGTTTCATCACATAAATAAGCTCGTGAAGATCCTCTAATGTTGACGCATTGGTAAACGGTATTGTGTATTATATGTACACATTGTTAATATTCTGAGATATATGATAGCCCTAACCTTACTCGAGAATATTCCAACTTTATCCACTTGTTCAGTTGTTCTTCCTGCTGGCTCTGTCTCCTTTTCTCTCTTTAAGCTCATCCAAAAGATATGAATAGATGGTTGAATCCACTTCCTTTACAAGTAAAAGTGTGTAGTGAAGGCTTTAAAGGTCTATCCAACCAGAATGCTAGGGCGGAATCTTCTTGGCTAATTGCAAGTTGGCTTTACTGAAGCATTCTTACTTGCGCTGTCCGAGGTCATAAAGTACTCAAAAATTGTAAATCAAGAGATTCCTTGAAACTCGCATCTAAATAGTTCTCACCTTTCTGTCAACATAAAATGTCTAGACACAATAACTCATTCCGACACTATTCGAAACCCAACATTTCTTCATATAATATGAATCCTAATTTTTTAATCTAAATGAAAGACAGAAGACATGATTTTGTTATGAGATTCTATGAAAACCAGTTGTTTTTCATATATTAATGGTAAATAAAGTGTTTGCATCCCCACAGACTGGATCCATCTTGGAGTGCTGAAAAGACCATGAGGCGAGTCCATTCTCTTTGTGCATATGAAAAACTAAAATGTAATGCAAAACTACATATTTCGAGCAGAGTCGTTATAAGGGGACTACAAATCCACTCTATGTTTGTACTTCTCTACACATTGTTGGAGAGACTTTCACTTTATGTACAAGTGCATTATGAAGAGATTCGTAGGTCGATCTCACCGGAAGACGGCGGCTGATTCACATAGTACTTCAGGCGTTTGGTTGACGCGGTCCACAATACATCCTCCCACGCTTCGGATGAAAACGGGGTTAGCATTTGTCTATCTTATGATGGAAATCATCAGAGCTGGAACTCGTTCTTGTGAAAGTCTCATGTGAACACTAAGTCAGAAGGATTGTCTGATTCCGTCTTGCGTCTTAATGGGCGATAGTTTTCTTCATCTTGCTCTTTCATACGAACTGAAATTTCCTCAATACTATCATCTTAAGAGATCTATCGAAACTCAGTTACTCTTCGTATATTTTGAACACGACCATAACTTCAGTACCACAGAAGATCAGTATGTTCTCGCAGTTCCCACCCCTCAAGTCGCCCTCTTTAGCCCATTTAGCCACCTTTCACGAGTAAACCCACTTCGTCTCTCCTCTTCACATCTTCCTGCCTGTGGTGCAGACATCTCCAATGAACTTTTGGCCGCCTCGATTGCTGAATCGCCCTCGCAGAGTCTCCACGCCATGGATTGCCTGACCTGGCCGGCCGTTGGTCACCTCGGCCGCTCATGTGTTTCGGTGCATGCCAGTGACGAAGTGGACGAGGTGCTGTCGCTCGACGAAGCTGTAGCTCGTGAAGATCGGCATTTAAGCAATCTGGAACCACTTCCAACGAGAGTGGCGTCGATGTCGATCCTCCCCTCGTCCGTTCAGCGTGTCCAGCCACACGTGCCGGCCAGAGGCTCTGCAGTCGCGGGAGAAGAGTTCTTGCTACAGTCGGTCAATTCTTCTCTGAGGTCGGTAAAGACGTCTTCCCCATCTGTATCCTCTCGCCTCACCACTTTGTCGCTGCCGCTGATCTGCTCCAGTCCGAATGGATCAGGCTCCTCTACCACTTCTACAGCAGACACCACTTTGGCGCATAACTCCACCCCGCACCACTTCCGTCCTCAGGACCAGTCACGACCGTCCATTCCAGACTCTCTACAACCGCGATTCAACCCCATGTCCAACAACCTTGGCTCTGGACACGCAAGTCTGAGAGGGCGCCTCTACCGAACTCGGGCCTCGTCCAGACAGCAGACACCCACACGCTTGACATCCAGGCCGGAGACGTCTTCTTTCGTTACAACCCGACAGCCGGAATCATCGGTAAGCTGGATCAACTAAAATTTCTCATTTCACTTCTCATTTTTTCCTTTCATCTCACACAATGATCTGTCCTTTCCATCTTCCTTCCACTTTCGATCCTTTCCTATAGCCACCAGATGTATCTAGAAAATGAGAAAATTATCAGTAAATAAAAGTGTTAATCAATCAAGGTCACATAAGGTGATGGAAGACTGATAATAGAATTTTTTCACAATAATAAAAATGGGTCTCTATTCCATTTGCATTAAATTTCACTTATCCTTGCTTCCTAATCGAAGCCTCCTGTAAACCTGAGTTCAATTATCTTTCATGTTGGTTTGATCTCGATTTCATAACTTGGTCGCCTCGACCAAGTTATGAGGATGGAGCGTACCTCATCCTGTGTCCTCATGATGGTTTCCAGCATCGGACCGTTGACTTGGTAGATTCACAGACGTTTCGCTGGCATCGTCACTGAGATATGCCATCATTAGCGCAGAGTTACAACTTATCAAAGTGACAAGTTAAGACAATCCTCTCGATCAATTTTCTGCCCAATCATTGTGGCATTACTCCTCGCCCCTATTTTTTAATCCCACCTAGTGCTGTATCTCTTTCTCTCTACCACACTTCGTATAGCCTATTTACCTATTCACACCATTATATGCTCTCGTTTCCTCCAATGTTGCCCAAGTGTGTCGATTCATGTGTACGTTTATTGAAGCATTATGGCCTTCACCACCGGCACGTGCACGTTGGTGGTACCCCCCTAGACAGGTTTGTCACCAGGTCCCTCTCATCAAAGGCACACATACGAAAAAATGCCCCATCCCACACACAGTGGAGACCAACTGATATTGTGCTCCTCAGCTCGGTTTCCACACCCTGTTGAATTTGAAATGGGCCTAGATCTTTGGCCTAGTACCTCTAATGATGTACAATTTGCAAGTTTATGGTCTTTAACTTCATATCTAATGGGTGGGCCTATACTGGTAACTTTCCAGGTTAATTCCTGGTTTGACTTCTCTCACTGCAATCGCCTTTTCTTGTCTCCCATTTGTCCCCCGTTATCCTCTTCTTGACGATATAGAAGTTTATGCACTTGAACCCTCTTTACCAATTTGCCCACAAAACGTCTGGAGCAAGATTGAGTGCTCGAGAATTTACAGTATAAACTGCATAGACTGTAAACAAAGAAGAGACTGGGTGGACAATCAGCACAAGAATCAAAGATGTTAATTATCGGAATCAGACATTGAGACGA